ATGGTGCCCTTCGGTCCCCACCCCGTCCCGCCCGCAGGGACTTCGCACCCCCCCCGCTATGGTGGGGAAGTGGGTGGGCGGGCCGCCCCCCGTGGCGTCGCATGTGCTACGCCAGGGGTGGTGGGGGATTTTGGAAGAAGTGACCCCTCCCTCCCCATCCCTCCGACGTGGCTCAAAGTTCCCACCCCCAAGTCATAGACCCAATCATGTTGATATGCTGCACGTCGCCGTGGTGCTGCCTCCTCAGTCGTGATGGTAACGCCCGTACTGTTACGCGCACTCGTATTGCACGGCGCCGCGCTGCTAGCCCTCATCGTGCTGGCAACAGTGGTAACACTGGTGATGCTGGTTTCAACTATGGGTGCTGTTTGCACCCGCGCCGCTCAACGAGCACTGCTCAAGCCACGCTGCGCTGCATGCACACCTCCGGGTGTAACGGGTGCTTGACAGATGTGGCGCTGAAGAAGGCGGGTGCTTCGGGTGCTTCACAGGTGCTGCCGGTGAATGTGTACGCGAGGTGCTGCTATATCTGCAGCCCCTTCTGGCATGAACGATCTTGTTTCTTATCCATTCTTGGATTTCGCTTCGCGGTGCAGATGACTACACCGAGCAGGGTGTTAGCACATGCCTGGATCCCCACTGCGGCAAGGTCACTTTGCCGTTGGTGCCGCGAAGCTGACCATCTCCCTCTCAGATGTGACGAGGTAGAATGACATGGTGAGGTCAGAATAGAACCATTCCTTGAAGAGCGTATGGCAGAGGCTTCGCTTCTGCGGTGTCCGAATCCTAGATGCAATAAGCCGTATGAGCAAACGGAGGGGTGTGATCACATGACATGCCCGTGCGGAATTCACAGCTGATTTCTTTGCGGAAATGAGATTGACAACACGCGGCAGCAACCACTTCAAGGATGGATAGGGTGGCGGCACCGACGCAAAATGTTTAAAGTCCACCGCATAGGTCACACCTGCGTGGGCTAAGACAAGCCACGCAGAAGTTCGTGCTGAAGTCGATGCGGCGCTGGAGGAGTACCTCGCGCAGAACCCCGACCTTCGGGGCATTGTGCAGGATCGTTTGGATAATCAGAAGCGAACTCTCTCTTATCTTGAAAGCAGCCCAGCGGGCAAGCACCACAAGAAGTAAAAGAGAGGCGGCCCGTTGGCTACCTAGAGTTTTTGCCTGGATGGCAAGGTTCGCCTTCTGCAGCTTCTGCTCCTCATGCTGCTGCTCCTCCTCCCACCTTCTACTCGTCTTGCTGTTGCTTCTCCCACTCCTGCGTCGCCTCTGGTAGGATTGCCTTCGTTACCCAGCAATTGCAACGGCTTCAAGATATTTCAGCTTTGCTAGCCTATCCGTTGGCCCCGCCTGTGACGTTTTACCGGTTTGGAGCTTCGGCTTCGTTTTGCTGGTAGGCCGGACGGCGTTGCGTGTAGCGACTTGTTTGCCGCAAACACATACACACATGTGTATCTACATCATATGTGCATTTGTGTATGTACACAATCGCACATGCAGGTATATGTATACGCATGCCCTCATGCTGTTTGCTACCAGAGTGCAGTTCGCTGCCAGTCAGAGAGCTGCGTTCCAGGAAAGTATTCGACTACTGCTGCGGCAGCGGCGGTGGCCATCGCCGCCGTCGTCGCTGCCACCCCTGTTGCTGCCAGTCTTTGTCCTCACGCTCCTGCTCCGTAGCTCGAGCGTGTCGCTTAGGCGACGTCGATGGGGAAGGACCACGAGGGAGGACGACAAAGACGTTGTTGATAAATCTCTGGTGGTCTCCAGAAATCCCTGCAAGCTTCGGTTGCCCTCGGAAACCTCCGGTGGCCAAAAGAGAGGCCCAATTGTACAACAAATGTCCTTAAGCCTCGATCCGCTAAGATTCTAAACTCGAATGTAGACCATGGGTCTTCGAAGCTCGGAGATGGGGCGATGAAGACGACGACGGGGCGACACTGAAGACGGGGCGAACGACGACCGCCACCAACGACGTCCGTGAGGTGTTTGTTGGAATCCCTGGAGGCACCGGGAATTTCGTGGAAGCTCTGGGATTCCCACGGGAGGTCCAGGACCCCTCCACAAAAACCTGAGGAATCCCAAACCAATTCACACCCTGGATCCTCGAACCTCAGATGTCGAGCAAGAGTCTTTGAACGACGACGATGAACGAGAGGGTAGGGGAAGACGACTTACAAGGATGTAAAAGGGGAGTTCGCGCGGGCTCGACAATGTGAGCGTCAGAAGAGGTAGGAGAGGACTGCAGTCATCAGTCGGGTGGGGTCAGAAGAGACCGGGCGCCCGAATGGCGCATCATCGGGGGGTTTCAAAGAGGGACCGAAAACGCGAGTTGTAGAATCCGGTGCTTTGATAGGCGCCATTCGTCTGCAGGGGCCTGACAGGGGCTGCAGAGGACTCTGGAGGACTCTAGAGGGAGGGCTCTAGAGGGACTCTGAGGGGCCCCTGAGGGGTCTCTTAGATGGGGGCCTCTAGAGGGCGCCTCTAAAGGGAGGCCAGAGCGACTCCAGAGAGGGATAGGGCGTTTCCCTAGATGGTGCCTCTAGAGTGTCCAGGTTTCCCAATTTGAATATTCAAAATCAGGTGGATACATATATACATATGTCGACATATATCTATATATATATATATATACACAAGACTGCGTTGGCGCTTCTTGCCACGCACCTTGGTCCCTTAAGCTTTGCATATGTTGGCACTTGGCGTTATCCTCTTTGGCCTTTGAAATTTTGCCGTTGCCTTTCAAGTCCCCTTATCCGTTCTTTATTCGCTCTCGCCCTCGATTTACATGCTCGTGCGCCACCCCGATTTTTCTTGGGATGAGTTTGGACTCGAATTTCGAGGCGGACCCTTTGACGTGGCGACGAGAACGCCACCTGGAGACTCTGAAAACATATTGAACCAAAATCGCGTGCCGTCTTCGCTGGATCCTGCGCCGGCAGGTGTCGTAACGGCCTGCGCGTCGATTTTTGACACCGCTGGGATCGTTCAGCCGTGAATGATCGCGCATTCGATTCCTGACCATTGGCCGCGTCCATTCCGAACGCCTGCGCCGGTGTCGCCGCCGCGTCGAGACGACGTAAACCTACCGTTATGGATGACGAGTCGTTTGCTGGGGGCCGTTTTCTCTACCCCCGGATCTGTTTTTCAAGCCCTTTGGGTTGCAGCGGCTCCTGGAGGCCGAGGTCGAACAAAAACCTCCGAATATTACAGGAACTCCAAGAAGCCTGGCGGTTCCCAGCGGCTCCCAACGGCATAGAACCAACAAATGTGTAAGCCATCGTAGACCCCGCAGAGTGAGGTGCTGAACTCCAGCGGTGGAAGTTCTGCGGCCTAGAATATGTGATGTGAGCTATGTTGTGGCAGCCATGTGGTGTGAGCTATGTGGTGACAGCTCTTCTGTGCTAGCTATCGCCTCGCTTTCGCCTGGCGTTGCGAACCAGTCCCCGTCTGCCGCAGGTTTTCTTTCCGGAGGCTCCTCGTTGAAGAACTTCTTGGGGGCCTCACGGTTGCCTCTCAAGGGCTTTGGGGACCTCTGGAGGCCTCTTGGGCGCCTCCCTGGGCCGTCTTGGGGGTCCTTTTGAAGCCCGTTTGCGCCGTCTTGGGTCCCTCCCTCGTGGGTCTCTCTTGGGAGCGTTGGGGGGTCTCGTGAGCTTCTTCGGGGCCGTCTTGAGGCAGTCTTGGGGCTCTCTTGGGCTGTCTTGAAGCTCTTTTAGGCCGTCTTGGGGGTCCTTTTGAAGCCCGTTTGGGCCGTCTTGGGTCCCTCTTGGGCCGTGCTGGGGCCTTCTTGGGGAATTTGGGCCCCTTGCGGGCCTTCTTGGGGCCATCTTGGGCCCTCCTGGGGACCTGCCAATTGCCCTCGTGGGTCTCACGTGGGAGCGTTCGGGGGCCTCGTGAGCTTCTTTGGGGCCGTCTTGGGGCCCTCTTGGGCTATCTTGAAGCCCGTTTGAGCCGTCTTGAGGCGATCTCGGAGGCCTCTTCGGCGGTCGTGAACGCTGCTTCGACGCAAAAGGCGAATATGCTGAAAATGTACGTTTCCTCATGGGAATGGAAAGATTATTGCCTCTTGGGGGCCCTCGTGAAGGCCTCTTGAGGCGTCTTGGGGGCCTCTTTGACCGTCTTGGGGCCTCGTGGGCCGTGAGGCCGTCTTGCGCTGTCTTGGGGCTCTCCTGCGCCTCTTCGACCACTTCTCTGATCGCTTTGGGTCTGCTGGGCAAGGCCCAGCAGGGCGCCCTGGGAGGCGCGGCAGAGTTGGGGGACCTCTTCGAAGGGCGCCCCCAAAGTCCCAGATACCACAGTTTTTTTTCTGCTGTTTTTTGTTGTTTTTATTTTTCTCTTCTTTCTTTATTAGATATAATTGTTTTTTTGTTGTTGTGTGCATGTGTGTTATTCATATATAGATATAGATATGTGTGTGTGTGTGTGTGGGGTTGGACGGTTTCCCCCCCCCAGCTGATGTCTGTTTGCTGCCAGTCAGAGGGCTGTTGCTACCAGGGCGCAGTTTGCTGCCAGTCAGATGGCTGCGGATACAATGAACCACCGCTGCGGCAGCGACGGTTGACATCGCCGTCGTCGTCGCTGCCGGTACCGTCACAGAAGCTTGGTCCTGTTACAGTTGCTGCCAGTCTTTGTCCTCACGCTCCTGCTCCGTGGCTGGTGCGTGTTGCCCAGGCGAGCTGGCCCACGGGAGGCCCGCGCGACACGCCCCGCGCACGGACGTCGATCGCGTTTTGGGCGCCCTCTGTTGTCAACGAAAGGCTGCTTCACGGTTACCACTACTGCTGTTGCCGCTGTTATTTGCTGCCGAGAAGCACCCTTCACCGCAGCGAAGTGAGGGATGGTGTGCGTGCGGGGGTGGCTGGGGTGTGGGTGTGGGTGGTGGGACGGGCGGGTGGTGGGGAGTCCGCTGCGTACCTTCAGGGCTCCTCAAGGGTTCGGCACGGGGTACCACTGACGCCGGTTCTGCTGCCCTGCCTCGCCCGCAGGCCCGCCTCGACCAGCGCCGCGCCGCCGGCCGCGACCACTGCCTGACCCAGCCGCCGCTGCGGCGCAGCGGCAGCGCGGACGGGTTCCGCCTCGCCGCTCGGTGGCGCCACGCCACGCTCCCTGCCTCAGATGAGGAAAGGCTAATGCGGCCAAGCCTCTAAGAAATTTCCGGTGGGACGTGGACGATTAAAGCATATTCCTGGCTCGCCGTCGTCGCCGCCGTCGTCGCCGTCGTCGCCGTCGAGGCCGCCAGGCCGCCGCTAGCGACCCGGACGAGAGATAGCATTTTTCACGTCGTCCATGCCCCATTTTGTTTTGAACCGTTTGGTCGCATTACCGATGCCGCTACCCTCTACCCTTGTCACGTTTTCGCTTGTTCGGGCCTCCTGAGAGGCCGTTGTTGTTGCCACGGCTGGATTTGCATCGAAATTCTGGTCAGAACGCACCCTGGGAGAGGTCAAGGGAGCAGCTCCGCAGTCGAGGGTCGGCTGCGTCCTCGGTCCTCGCGGCCGCTTCTACCCACACCTCCTCCGCCTCCTCGTCGCGAGCGTCTGGCGCTGCCCAGAGGAGGAGGAGGAGGAGGAGGAGGAGGTGGAGGAGGAGGGGGAGGGAGGAGGGAGGAGAGAGATTAGGAGGAGGAGGAGGAGGAGGGAGGAGGGAGGAGGATGAGGAGGAGGAGGAGGAGGAAGGAGGAGGAGGAAGATTAGGGATGATGATGGTGATGACAGCGATGCTGGTGATGGTGATGATGATGATGATGTTGGTGGTGGTGGTGGTGGTGATGTTGACGATGACAGCGGTGATGGATGGTGATGGTGATGGCGATTGTGATGCTGATGCTGATGCTGATGCTGATGCTGATGCTGATGCTGATGATTCTAATTATGATAATGATGATGATGATACTTATTAGGATGATTATGACGACTATGATGATTCTGATGATGCTGATGCTGACGATGATGACGATGCTGATGATGACGATGATGAGGATGATACTTATGATGATTATGAGGACGATGGTGCTGACGAAAGTGTTGCTGCTGATGATGATGATCATGAGGATAAGGATGCTGCTGCTGCTGATGATGATGATGATGATGATGATGATTATGATGATGATGCTGATGCTGATAGTGATGCTGCTGATGATGATGATGATGGTGATGATGGTGGCGACGTCGAGGATGATGATGGTGATGCTCATGATGATTATGATGATGCCACTGATGATGCTGCTGATGATGATGGTGAAACTGATGCTGATGATGCTGACGATGATGGTGATGCTGATGCTGATGATGGTGGTGGTGGTGATGATGACGACGATGATGATGCTTCTGATGATGATGATGCTTCTGATGATGATGATGCTGATGATGATAGTTATGATGCTGATGATGAGGCTGATGCTGATTTGGATTCTGATGATGGTTGTGATGGTGGTCGTGTTGATGATGGTGACGATTATGATGACCATGATGATGAAGATGATGATGATGATGCTGATGATGATGATGATGACGATGATGATGATGATGATGAGGATGATGATGATGATGATGATGATGATGATGATGATGCTGCTGCTGCTGCTGCTGATGATGATGATGATGATGATGATGATGATGATGCTGATGATGATGATGATGATGATGATGATGATGTTGATGATGGTGATGATGATGATGATGATGATGAGGAGGAGGAGGAGGAGGAGGAATAGGAATATGACGACGACGACGGGGGATAGGAACAGGATGACGACGGTAAGGAGGATGATGGGAAAATTGGTGAAGAGGATGAGAGAGTTTGAGTTTGAGGAGGAGGAGGAGGAGGAGGAGGAGGAGGAGGAGGAGAGCTGGTGATGGTGGTGATGATGAACAAATGGCGGTGATGAGTATGACGCGAATGATCGTGTTCATGATGGTGGTGGTATTGATGATGCATGGTAGTCGAACTGCTGGTGGGTGGTAATGAAAATGAGGATGAAGGGGGAGGAACAGGAGGAGGAGGAGGATGCGGAGGAGAGACAAAAGGATGAGGGACCATGATGCTGTTTCTGAGGATGCTGCTGATGATGATGATGATGATGATGATGATGATGATGATGATGAGGAGGAGGAGGAGGAGGAGGAGGAGGAGGAGGAGGAGGAGGAGGAGGACTATGTTGACGAGGTGGATCCAGGCGGCAAGGGGGGACCAACTCGGGATCCGGGCAGTGCCCTCCCCGTGGGATTTGATCGCTCTCCGTGGAGTGCCGCCTGGCACCCCAGCGGCATACCCAGATCTCCGACGATCTGTTTTTCTCGAGCGGCGGTTTTTCTTCACCTCGGCCCTCGGGGACCGCTCTCGGGTCCTGGAGCCAGGAAGCATAGATCCGGGGCGAAATGCTGGCCCCAGGGAAGGGGTCGGGACTTTGATCGGTGGCGAGCGAGGGGGGGAAGCGAGAAGGAGAAGGCCTTCTTAGAAGGTCGCGGGGCTTCTCAGAAGCCCTCTGGCCTTATGAGAAATCTTCTGTTCCTTCGGGGAAGGCTTAGACAACTTCTCATGGCGCCAACATCGCAGAGCGGATTGCGTTAAGAAAACGATAGGATGGACTCGGAGTTTCCTGGAGAATGTCGTTCCGGGTTTCGAAGTGAATTTCGTGCGTTTTTTGGCCAGGAATGAAGACTACAACAAATCCACGCGAAACTCACCTCGTTTTTCGCTCGCCGTTTCGGGGTCTCGCATTGGCAGAACTCCACGCCAAAATCTGCTGCAGCACGTCTGCCAGGTTGGTGCAGTGAGACTTCTCAGGCCAGAGGGACTTTCGAGCCTTCTGAGACGGCCCGCCCCCCCTCACTCCCCCCCCCCGGCGTGCCGCCGTGCAAAAATCATATCGGCAGATGTCGCTCGCAGGACGCCCTCCGAGGATGGAGGGAGAGCCCGTGCGGGAGGAGGTGGACGAGGGGGGAGGGAGCGAGGAGGGAGGACGAACGGGGAGGAGGGGGAGGGGGAGGAGGGCGGAGGCAGAAGCAGGGAGGAGGCCGCCCGAGCAGGGTCGCGCGTGGGCGGCCCCTCTTCCGCGCGGCGTGCCGTGCTGGCGGCCAGCGCAGGTCATCGCGTGAGGCCGCCGCGCCCTCACGCGCAGAGCCTCCCTCTCCTTGCTCGCCCGCCTGGGCGGAGCAATCCGGACGGGGCCACGTGGCGACGGCCATCGCCTTCTGCCACCGCTGCCGCCTCGCTGGGCCGCATACTGCGGCCACCTGCCCGCCGGGCCGGCCGCCGAGCCGGCCGCTTTCTGCGCCTCGTTGCGCAGCTGCCCGAGCCTGAGGCGGCGGGGTCCCCTGGCGGACCCGCGACCGCGTCTGCCGCGCAGCCGTCGCTCCGCAGCTGGCAGGGGCCTGGCCTCTTCTCTGCGGAGAAGCCGTCGGCTCTCGGGGACAGGCAAGGCGTCCGACGAGACGGCCACGCTCCCCGCCATCCTTCGCTCTTTCTTGCACCTCGTCCCTCCAGCCTCCTTCCTTCCCGCTCCTCCTCCTCCTCCTCCTCAGCCTCTTCCTGCTGCTGCTGCTGCTGCTGCTCCTCCTACTCCTCTTTCTCCTCCTCTTCCTCCTCCTCCTCGCCCTCCTCCTCTGAAACCTCTTTCCTCTTGCTCCTCCCTTCTCTTCCTCCTCCGCCCTCCTGCTGCTGCTCCTGCTGCTGCTCCTCTTCCTCGCACGAGGATGCGGATGAGGAAGAGGAGGAGAAGGAGGCGGAGGAGGAGGAAGAGGAGGAGGAGGAGGAGGAAGGAGGAGGAGGAGGAGGAGGAGGAGGAGGAGGAGGAGGAGGAGTAGGAGGACGAGATGGAGGAGAAGGATGATATGGAGGAGGAGGAGAACATGGATAATGATGATGAGGAGGATGATGTTGAGGATGATGATGATGATGATGATGATGATGATGATGATGATGATGATGATGATTATGATGATGATGATGATGGTGATAATGACGATGATGATGATGCTGATGATGATGACGACGATGGTGATGATGGTAATGATGATGATGATGATGATGATGATGATGATGATGATGATGATGATGATGATGATGATGATGATGATGATGATGATGCTGATGCTGATGCTGATGCTGATGCTGATGATGATGATGATGATGATGATGATGATGAGGAGGAGGAGGAGGAGATGGAGTAGGAGGACCAGAGTTCCTTACATATGATGAAAACGATGCTGAAGTACACCTCCCGTCCCAAGCCCCCTTCCTAGACGCCCCTACAGGTCCTCCTTTTCAATACAATAAGCGCCCTATCTTGAAAGAGCAGCACAGTTGGGCCTGCTATTTTGGCGAGGGCCCCACTTTGAACAGGAATTGCCTTGCATCTTTCTGGCGCGTAGTCATGACGGCGGCACAAACAACGATCATGTAGTTCAACGAGGTGTCCAGTGATATCCCTGTTTCGGAGAAGGACCGCCCCTTATCCATGTAGGTGTTTCGCAAGTTTGCTCCTGTGGTCATGAACTTCGAGGAGGTCTCAAGCGACAGCTCCATTTTGGAACAGAGCCGCTAAGGAGCCGTACAGCACTAGGTGCATTCAAGCTCCGGGTGTTTGAGCCTAACGGAGTCCCAGGCGAGAGCTCCATTTTGGAAATGACCAGTCCTCCACAAACGTGGCGTGAAAAGAACGCGCGCGGCGCTAAGGCGAGAGCCTTGACAAACCGCGCCCACTCCATCAGCGAAACTGCGGCAATGTTTTCAGACGAATGTTTTGAACTTCACCCGCCCCATCCGAGAAACATTTTGTGAACTTTTGAGACGAATGTACGCGACGCTGAGGCGAAAACCACATTTTGAAAACGCGCCCCCTCCATCCGCGAACCTGTCGCAGACTTTAAGGCACATGCGCGCGGCGCTGAGGCGAGAGCCACATTATGAAAGCGAACTGCCCTCCATCTGTGAAACTGCGGCATCCTTTTAAGACGAAGGTGTGCGGCGATAATCAAGGCGAGAGCCACATACGCACCTCCATCCGTACAACTGCGGCAAACTGCGAAGAC